CGAAACATCCCACAAGAACCGGTAAGGCGGCAGTGTAGTCGCTGCACCCAAAGGGATCGACTGTGGGGAAGACCTTCTAGCTGCACTCCAAGAGGTTTTCTGCGGAGGAGACCTACTACGTCTTCGTCCGTGGTATGTCATGGCTCCAAACCTACGTCTAGTCTGAATTTTCGACCACTTGAGCCAAAATCTAAATGCAGTCGAGTCGCTGTTGCAGACCCATCCCCATTTACAGAAACCCCTTAAACTCCCTTCATACACAAACCCTTTAAACTCCCTTCAAACCCGAAACCACGCGGCGCTTGCATCATGAGCATATGGATGTACATAGGCGCACGCTTGTTCTTAAGTTCCTTTCGCAACAGAAGTCTCACAGAGTCAACGCGATAAAACGAACATGTCTTCTTCGGACAATGGCCTTCACTATTCCGCGTCAGCTTAAAGACCAGCTCTCCTATCTGCAGCACTGGCTTTCCTTAGATTGGTATTCACAATATAAAACAATTGCCAATTATGCATGACGATATCAATAAAAGAATAAATATACTGCTTGTGCACAAGAATCCATCTGGCAACGTATCTACGATACGTTCCTGGAGTGTTGGTGCACAGGGTACAGGCCCAACGAAGACATCTTCAGACTCAGCAGAACCTGAGCAACAGTTCTACTGTTATCGATGCAGAAAGCAATATTGAGACAAGCTAGTTCTGCGAAGCAGCCGTCCATGAACTCGCCGGTCACACAGGTGACATCGAGCGGCACCACGCAGCCCATAAGGGTATACCATGGCACCAGAGACATCTTGCGCAAGGGTCTACTTGGGCTGTTTTTCTCGAAGCAGAAAACGCTCAGATGTTGGAAGAGTATGCGTTTAAAACGACAGACATTGAAAGACGCGTAGGATATTTGATGAAACTTCAGTGTACTGGAAGACTGCACACACGATATGCTTGCTCACATTTTTCTTGCGCCATTCGGATCTGCTTCGTCACGCAAAACTTGCTCCAGCATCGCAGCTATCCGTGACTTGTTTCGTCATCAGCTGGGGATCATGGACATAGCCGCAACATATTTGCATGAGTTGTTTCATGTGATTTAACCCATAAGTCCATGTTGCGGTACCAATATTCGTACTGCGCTGCTCTGAGCTTCGCTCGAAGCAAACGCGAGCCTGCCTTACTGTGTTGATTGATCTGGATACGATCTTTCAGAAACTTCCAGCATCTGTCAATCGCCTGGGTGCCTGATTTCACGGAGAGAGATATATCCCATGGTCCTATATTATGCTTATGTTTAAGCAGATATAGCAGAATGAGCTGTGCAAGCAGTTCCAGCGCATGTTGCAAAGTGTACGAACCCTTTCTTTTGGCGATAGTGCATGCGATGTGTGAACGCCGTCTTCATTCAGCTCATTCTGCTGCTTAAGCAGGTTCTCGATGTCGAGGTCCGTCTTTGCCACATTGTGGCAAGCATCGAGGAAGTGAGTCATGAGCTGGGCTGGCGATGAGAACCTTTGTAGCAGGAAAGCAAGGATTGTCGATCTCATAATGTTCAAGAGTTGGTTTAGTTCATCTTTAGAAGTCCAACAAGATAAAGGTTAGTATCGCGCACGAGTGATTCGCGTATAGGCAGATTCGTAATGTTAACAGCACCTAGCGGCATTGGCCCAACGCACACGTGTTCGTGAAGCTCGCGGAGCACCATTTGCTCCATGGCCTCTTTGGCCTGTCCGAAGTGAATGTTGTCGGCGTCCATGGCGGGAAAGTACATTGCAAATGTTTGATACTGTAAGTGGCTACGTCAATACACTTTAGATGACTCTTGCAGTGGTTGTCAAAATCGCGGAATCGCAGAATCGCGCATTCTAGATACCTAACTAGGACCTGCAGGTCTATCTGTGACTCTGCACTTCTGCGATTGTGCGAACCTGCGATTCTGTGAATCTGCAATTCTGCGAATCTGCGATTGTGCCAAAGCATTATAATTATTTATCAAGTTGCATGCCGCGTCGCGATTCCATACATGCTGGCACCAACGGAGCATCGCGCTTGATCATCTTCACGTAATCATCATGAGAGATGGATGTGGCGTCTGAGTTCGTCATCTCCAGTTCGGCATATGAGTCGTCGATGACAATGCCTAGTTGACCTTGGACGAATTTTGCTGCAATCGTACAGGCATCGATGGAACATCAGATTCCCACAGTATGGGAATATGTTGTGCGGAAGCCCTTAACACAAAACCCTGAAATGCAAGCAGTCGCAATTTCTTGGTCACAGTCGTCGTCGTCATCATCAGAATCAGCATCCGCGAAAGCTGCCGCTTCCTCCCTTAGGAGATGCATCCCCTCCATGATCTCCGAATCCCCACAGACCTCAGGTTTCACATCAGGAGTTTGAAGGTCCTCGTCCTCGGACTCGTCCTCGTTGTCTGCACCCGCAGCAGCCTTGTTCGAGTCATGGTGTTGCGGCTCTGCGGACCACAGTTTCTTCTGGAGTTTCTTCGAAGGTGGTTTGAGCGTAGTCACAGGGACGGGTGCAAGCAGTACCGACAAGACTCAGGTTACACTTCGAAGCAGTGGACCTGTGAACCGGGACGATGCATACGTGCACCATGCCGGATGCATCGGTCACATTGCAAGAGTGAGAAGCAATCACATCGATGGAGTTGCGAAAAGTTAGAGGCTTGCGAACATGGACCCACTTGTTGTCGTCGCCACCGTTGTTTGACAGCGAGCACTCGACCAGACGTCGTGAATATCGAACTTTCTCACAGGCCACATAGTAGGAGAATGTGCTCTTGCGAGCACTCGCTGCTCTGTGCACACAACAGATCACAGGCACCTGATGGTGTAGCTCCAATGAACTCTCTCGATCATTCAACGCACGGTTCAGCAAGACGTTGTAGCAGGCAGCCCAGTTCTTTTGTGCTGCTGGAACTTTACAGGGATACAACTGGCGGACGATGCGTGCAAGTTTGGCATGAGGCAGGAAGTCTGGATCCGCAGGTGCTTGCCAACGTGTGGTGTCCTGGTGGATTTGCAACCAATCATGCCAAGCCGTGAGGCAAGCCCGCAACATGGACAAGGCTGTGGGCTTGCACGTGGACCACTTACGACGTTGGCTGCCGGACCCAGTGTGACCAGCTTCACCAAGAAAATATTTGATGCATGCACGGCTTGACTGCAGCTCCACAGAGGCGTTGGGACAACGTTCAGCGGTTAGCTTGAGCGAACTGTTGGGCGGAAACCCCTTAGCACAAAACCCTGAAACCCTGAACTAATAAAAAGCTGCAGCGAAGACATCGAAGTCGATTGTCAGCATACCTGAGCAGGTGGAGAGGTTTTTTTGGGGTACCAAATATATATATATATATGTATTTTGTTATTTATTTACGTATGTGCATATATATATATATGTATATGTATATATGTATATATATATGTATATATATATATGTATATATATGTACATGTATACAGATAGGATATGACATCTATATCTATATCTATATCTATATCTATATCTGTATCTATATCTATGTCTCTGAATATATATATATACATATACATGTGTGTGTATGTATGTATGTATGTATGTATGTATGCCTGGATGTATGTATG